GGGGGGGGGGGGGGGCGTGGAGATAGAGATATATTTGTACTTGTTAACCAAAACCACCAAACCAGAAATCAGTAGTTTCGCATTCTCTGAAATGGTGGAATACTCCGTTTTGACATCTTTTGTTTTGTTAAAACTGCTCTGGAAATGGATGAGAGATACATTACTATGAAGAGAATGTTAAAAACTTTGCTGCTGACTGGAATTTGTATATTTAGGTACATTAATATTCTGTGCCACTATTTGAAGGAAGTAAAATACATTTTCCACTCAAATTTGGTTTAAGCCAGCCAGCCAAGGTCTTAGAAGAACCATTAAGATGAGTAGATATAAGTAGCACTCTGAAAGCAAAGATTCCTGAGTTAATGTAGCTTTAAGATGCTTATGACATTTATGTTCTATAAGCACCCCACAGTCATTTACTAATTTGTAGGCACTTCCTGTAATGCATTACTGCTTGCTTGAACTTCACCTTTCAGGTATGTAGCCTGCTGCAAAGTGAAGAATCGTTTGGTTTTTGGGGGACAAGGGGAAAGAGAGAGATCAGCCAGTCTAAGAAAAAAGTTGTACTACTAAAAAGATGTGGTTAGTTCTTCCCATGCCATATGCAGCCAGGGGGGTTAGAGCCCCCTATGGGCAGCAGCATTAACATAACTGGAAGCTTTTAGCATCCTCCTCCAACAGTCCTTGAGACAACACACAATTTCACTTCCAAGTGAGCATACCAATTTCATGTTCACAAATCCCTGAATGAGACACTGAAGGACATCACCATTCAGTACTGAGTTCACTGCTCTCACTCTTAAGAATAGATGACTTTTTGCTAGTGTTTTAGAACACACAGTAATTGCCTTTTTGTGATGCTGTGCAGTCTGGCAAGAGTCACATTTCCACAGCACCATTGTCTAAAAATAATTAAAAATATGGTACTTTTTAGTTTGCTATACTTTTATTTGGTGTGTTTTATTATATGTTGCTCACAGTCCATCCACGTTGCTGTTTCCTTTGACTAATTCACTAGGAAGGTATCCTGAACTGATGGCTTTTCAAAAGGAACACCACCTAGTACAGGAGAATTTTGTTCTTTTTAAATTCCTTTATGTGGCTCTTCTCTTGCATTTAATAGTAGACTCCCAAACTAGCCTAGAACCTGGACAATTTTAAATCATTTTGTGAGCTGCTTTGATTGCAGGTTGATGAGGGTAAAGTTTTTCAAGAGACCATGTGATTTCAGAGCTTAACAGATTTATGAAAAATGTCACCCCATCTTACCCCTGTAAGAAAGAACTTCTGGAGAGAATAGTCAATATGAAAAGTAGGCTTCTGTCATGGATTGTTCTCTGCATCACGTCAGAAAACGCCATACTTTTGCAAACAGAGTTGATATCAAAGAATACAGAAGACGAATGAGACTTACCATCTCAATTCGTTTAATCAGTGTAACTAAGTACAATTCAAACCACCATTTAACTCTGAAGCTGCAGACAGATGAAACCTTAAACTAGTGTTACTTTGGAAAATTAAGTATTGTATCCAATTAACTATATTAAGATGTAGCCTGCTATACACTAGTCTACTTAGATAGTGGAAGAGTGGTAACAACAATTTTAAAATTTTAATCTGTGCCTCTCTTTCAGGGTTAAAGTTACAGCAGTTAAGTTCATTTATAGTGCTACAGGAACAGACTGAACAATTCAACTGGGGCACCCGAGGTATGCCCTAGAGCAGGAAGTGCTTCTCTTCCTTGACAGAGTTCAAGAGGTTCATCTGTCCATACCCTGAAAGTGACTAGAAACATTTTGGATGTTGCATATTTCTCCCACTCAAGGGTCCACAAGTCAGGCTGGATGATTTCTGATACCGCACTAGAGCCAAAAAGCCAACCTTCTCCAAAAGTTGGTCTCTTTGAGGAAATTCAGACAACTGCCTTTAGTGCATTTACCTAGATTTAAGAGTATCCTAAATGGAGATGGCCAGGTCCCCGTCTTAGCTGTACTGATCCTGAAGAGCCAACAGGAGTAAAAGGCCCGTTGCTGTTCACAGAGAGAGTCCCTGCTGTAGCTACACTACTGTAGTAACTGGGGCAGGCACCCCAGGGTGCCAAAACGGGGAAACGGGAGGGGGTAAAATCATCTGCAAGCCACCCCAGGTGCCCAGGTGCCTTGTTATGCCTCCACTACCTTCGTAGGGGGACCCGAGCAGTTGGATGAAGGTGGTGCCTGCCAATCCAGCTGGAAAGCAGGAAGGCAGCTGGGAGCCCCACCGGGAGAGGCAAGGCCACCCACCCGGGCCGCTTTTCTTCCCACCCTCCTGCCCGGCTGCTGACCGCCGGCCATGCCAGCGAGCTCCCGCCACCCATCGCGGGCCGGGGCCAGCTCTGCCGGGGAAGCACGTGCGAGAGCGAAAGCCGAGCGGTGGAGGAGAGCCGGCCGAGCAGGGGCAGGAGGCAGCGGGGCCCGGCTCGCCCGGTCGGTAGGGACCCGCGGAGCGAAGGAAGCCGCCCTTACCCCATGGTGCCCGCCGGAGGCTGCACGGAAGTTGCTCTCGAACCCCGGTGCCCAGAAGCGTCGCGGCCTCTGCGTCTGTTGCCGTCCGCTGTGGGGCCCGGCCC